CTGGTTTCTAAAGGTTGATTCAGAGCGTCTGGCACGAAAGCCTCGGGCTGGAATGCTGTAAATTATGCCCGGAGCCTCTCTCCAGGAAAAAGTTCGCGGGTAACCGGGGCTGCAGACAGCCGTTTCCCCGGACCCTCCTCTCATTTGAAACCCCACCTGGGACAGAGACCTACAGAGCTTCTCTTGCTCAGGTCCCCCCTCTTTTCCGGCCTTTCTGTTCGGTGCTGCCGGGTATAAAGCCGCCTTATAGCCGACGGCTGCGCTCGGGGTCAGCGCCCTGGTTTTATTCCAGACGCTGCCCCAGCGGGCTGACTCGGGTTCCAGCCTAGGCCTTCTCCGTTCTTCCTGCAGCCCTCAGCCAGACTCCTTCTTCCCGGGGACGCTCTGTCGTATGAAAGCAGCCCCTGGGGAAGGCAGACGTCAGTCAACAGAGCCCAGCTTCCCTGAGCGATGACACCGAATACCGGAGGGCCGGGAGGCACGTTAGGTTGATCAATACTCCAATTCCTGAAGCCCTTTTGAGAGTAAATACCCAGGACAGGCCTTGCTTTAGGGCATCACCAGGCGGGTCTGTAGGTGAGATTAAGACACAGGAGTGGAGAAAGGTGATTTAGCCAAGTCTCGTGAAAATACACATTTTACCTTCCAATAACCTTTGGCTTGGGAGAAAGCAGACGCCCACTCCTCCGTTACCCGTAGGGTGGGATTTTCTGGGTAAATCCCGGGTCCTAATATACTACGAAGAGGCGTACAGTTGTGTCACAGGCTACAGTCAGCACTTCACTTTCTCTGGACTGTTATTTCTGAAATTTCATTTTTAAAAAATCAGACCATCAGAATTTGTGTACCTGGCACTAAACACTTCAGATGCTCTGTGTGTGTGTGTGTGTGCGCTCACGCGCGCTGGTTTCCATAGTTCTTTGATGGCCAAATCCCTACTTGTTTATGGAGAGGGCAATTGAAAAGATAATTAGCAAAGAATATCTTTCAAAGGAGATTTATGTGAAAAAACCACAAGAAAGTGACGCTAAAATGGGCAGAAAGCAAGAGGAGACACTGTGAGCCCGAGCGCAACGCACTGCGCGCAGTCCCCTCCGCTGGGCGGGGGCCCCAGGAAAGGTGGCAAATCAGGAACTAGAAATCATGCTAAAACGAGGTAGACGAGCTGCCAGCACCCCCAGTTGTCAGGTGGCAGAATCAGGTCCTCAATCTACATTTTCCCCTGCAGTACTGTGGTACCACTTTATATGATTATTATTTTATTAATACATTGTTTTTATCACATTCTGGTGAAATATAGGATAAGAATATTAGATCCGATGTCACAGAACCTTTAGCAAAACAACTCACGTGGGTTTTCATTCAGTTCTCACACATGAAAGCAGTTCAGGGAAGCCACCATGCCGAGACAGCAAGGGTGCGAGCTCTGAAAAACAAGCCAGTGCTATGTTCCCTGACCTGGGTCAGAAAGAGGACTGTGCCCTTCCTTGAGTTAAGGGAGGAAGAGAAGGCATATTCACGCCAACCACAGGGGGTCACTTCCTAGCCCGCCACTGCCACTGGGGAAGCAGGAAGGCTCTGTCCTCGGTCCTGTTGGGTGAATTTGATGGTCAGATCTCTTTCTTTGTGCACGTCGAATTTGATGGCCATTTGGAAGGTTGGCTGTGCTTACAGACTGTGCTCCATCGTGGGCTTGCTCAGCAGTGAGCTGACCAGTTGTCCACTCCACTCCCATCTGTGTGGGTCTGTGGAGGTCAGTGTTCTGCCAATTCAGGTCCAGGGTCTGACAAATATTTCTGGTATATACATACCTGGCATCCTGTCCGCTATTCTTGAGTTTTTAGCACATTTCTCCGGTGTGGGACTGTTATAGCAGATAATTAAAGTACTTGGATGAGATAAAAATAAAGAAACGACAACTTTGAGTAGCAATAATAACCTGTCAACGTGAGTGAGAATAGACTTCTCTGTGAGGGATGCCTAAATTAGAGGAATCTGCATTTGTGGCCCTGAGAGCTATTTCGTACATCTGGGTGTTATTCTTGGAAGAAATCTGTTATTCTGACCAAAAAGGCCAGCAGTCAGCCTCCCAAAGGACCAGAGCCCTGGAGAATCAGTCTGGGATCTGAAGGCTCAGACCCAGACATTCCTTGTTAGGAACCCAGGAGATAGTTAAGAAGCGGCCCCATAGATCCAGGAGCTCCTGATTACTGACTTGGATGAACAAACAGACTCTCCGCCAGTGTGCAAGGGCCAAGGTAGGCAGGTGTGGAGACCGGCAAGGGGCCAGCAAGGCCTGGGTTCCGAGCCCCAGGCTTGTGAAGCGGTTGTTCCTTGCACCCGTCTCAGAGAGGTTCGGGGGCTCTGTGTGAGCGCGAGGGGATTAAGCGAGAGCTGCTCTAACACTGAGCAGCGGCAGTGTGGAGGAGTCTGTGTATTTTTGGTCCATTCAGCGACTGTTTTGTGAGGACTTGCTGTGTTCCCGAGGGAGGAGAGGCAGCCCTGGGCACGGCAGGCGAAGCCACATGCCTGCACGGGTCAAGTGTCTCCTTCTCTTAGTTTTTCCTCTTCCTCCCTTCTTCGGCCACAGGTTCCAGGAGAACTTATTTCTCCTCTGTTTTCAAGTCTCCTTCCAACAGTGACCCAGGAGTTTCCAAGGGCCAAAACCCCACTCCAAAGGGAAGTCTACCTGTCACCATTCAGAACGAATGTACTTGCTGGCGGGGCTGGACTCAAACCTGGGGGAAGTGCGCTGCCTGTGTCCACCCAGAGTTGACGGGAAAACCACCAAGGCCTGGGTGCTCTGAAGCAGTCGGTGTGATGCCAGCCCAGCGAAGCCGGGCAGGAGCATGCGGCAGGCCCCTCTGCCCCCCCCCCCACCGCTTGTCATCTGTCCAGAGCATCAGCTTGCCATCAAGTGGGTTCCAGGGGGGTTCTGGTTCTGGTTCTGGGAAGGAAGCGGAGGGTGGCAAGGAGGAGCTCCCACTGGCTTGGAACTTGCCCCGTGTGTGCAAGAACCAGGCACCTGTTTGTAAATCACGTGTCTGCACTCACTCTGCCTACTCTGCTTCCAAAAGCACTCCCAGAGGAAGGATGGTACAGCTTCCAGAAAAGTGGGAGCTTCGTTTTGACGGAGAGGGTTAGCAGATTACAGCAGCTGTGACCCACTGGGATTGGGGTAATTAGCCAGGCCTGGGACCGCCCCTCAAATTTTTATGCGCATACAAATCCCCTGGGGGTCTTGTTAAAATGCAGATTCTGACTCAGCTGGTCTGGTCGGGGGAGGGGCCGGAGAGTCTGCATTCCAACAGGCCTCCAGGTGTTGCAGCGGTCCCCGACCAGACTGCAGGTGGAAGAGCGCTGTTGCTCTGACGCCTGGCAGTTGGTCCTGAGCTGGATGGTGAGCTGGGCCTTCATGGATGAGAAGTGGACAGTCCATCTTCACCTGCTCTCGGTTCTCCCCTCCTACTCACTCACAGCCGCACGGACCCTCCCCAGCTTCCCAGTGCGCACGGTTCAGAGCCTGTCCGCAACCTGCAGCCCAGAGGCTGGCGGACGTGCTCCCAGGGGCGTCCCCCTCCCCGCCCCCACCTGCCTTGTCAGCTTCCCGCCCCTCCCACCCGCACCTCCTCTCCTGGGACCTCCCTGGTTGCCCGGAGGGGACCGGGAACCTACCGCAATGATCAGTTTGTGACACGGAAGCTATCATTTTCCAAGCAGGGAAAATGGCCCAAGCCAAGTCTCAGCTGCAGTCACCCCGCATCACAAATGCCCCTTAACTCTTGTCCCTCAGGAACAGGGCGCAGGGGACCTGGCTGATCCCTGTGAATCTGGTGCTGGGCTCGCCCAGGGAGGAAAAAGGGACAGCGCGCCCCTTTCCTCAACACCGTCTAGCCTCCTAGCTGACCCCGGTGTGCGTGGTTAAGGAGCAAAATGGATTCCGAAGAAGAGAAAGTCACAAGGAGACCTCTGCTTACTGAGTTTTGAACGGGGTTTGCATCCCCCCTCCCCGCCCCGGAAAAGACCTGGGCCTCTGCTGAAGGTGACTGGGGCCAGAATCCTCTCCCCCTGATGCTGGCCCAACGCTAAGCTGTAGCCGGGCTCCTGCGGGAGAGACAGAAGGAGACCAGGCGCCCTGCAGTAGCAACCCGCACACGCGCAGACGTGGGCCCCCTGCTGGGAAACGTGCTGTTTCTCTTGCTTTGCTGCCCAAACGCCTTCCAACATGTATTATAGGAAACGTTCAGAAACTAAAATTTGAGTCTCAAAGGTGCGAAGAATTAAAACTTCAGGTTGTCTCCTGAGTGTTTATTCCATTTGCAATATGCACGCAGAACTGGGGCTAAGCCGCCTGTCCCCTGGGGGGTTCGAGCAAGTCATTCATTCTGAAAGGGGCTCCTTCCTCCAGGTATGAGTGGCTGAGTGGGAGGGACTGCACTTTTTTCTGTGTGCAAATTGTTTCTAGCACATTCATAAAAGCACAGGGAAAATCACTGTAAACACAGTAAGAATTTTGGACCAAGTACTTAATCCATGTTTGACTTTAGAGCAGTTGAGGACCAGGGCGGACAAACCTAGGGACACTGCAGCCGCTGTGAGAGCCTGGACAGGCAGTGCTAAGCACGAAGCACAGACCTGCTGCATCGCCTCGTGGGTCGTGTTTCCGGGAGCAGGGAAGGGAGTGCGCGATGCCGACCCTGGGTGTTGCTTTATGTCACGTCTCCTGTGAACATGCTGCCTGTGCTCCAGGGAGTCTGCGTCAGCTGACCTGTGCCTTTCAAAATCCTGAGGGTTAGCTCTTCCCTTTAAGAGGAAACCTGGTCAACTCATTCCTCTGCGTCCCCGAAATACAGTGCTAAGTAGACGCTAATGATGAGGAACACCTGGTCAAGGCGGGGGTCCTGCCGGGCCTGGTCAATGGGAGGAGGCTTTTCTCTACTCCCCTGTTTCTTTTCCTTTTTTTTCCTCCCTTTGAACACGTTGAACTTAGAAATGCAGAATTTTTTCTGTATGTTTATTCCTTGGGTTTTCTGCCCCCCCGGCCACCCAGTGTTTGGGATCTTCATGGTGGAAGGGGTAATAGTTGCATCAAGCTCGACAGATCCCCAGATCTTTCTCGGGTGGGAGTTCCCTTTGTCACCAAGGAAGGGGAGTGAGATGTTGAGGGCCAGCCTCAGACCACCCAGCCCTTCAGAGCCGACCCAGGCCCCCTGACCCAGCCCCGACCTGCTTCCGCGATGTACCGTTCTCTTCCTCCCCAAAGACGTTCTTTTTCTGAGACGCATGGGAGGAAAGGAAAATGCTCACAGGTAGCGTTCTCCTCTCTCGGTACTGAGTGTGTGCTTGCCGCTTACCTACGCGCCCGGGATCCCAACTCGAGAGGAACAAGGTTAAATGAGCGGTGGCCCAACTTGATCATGGAGGATTATGGAGCTGTTTTAAGAATGATGTGAATCTCCATGTAGTCACATAGAAAGAAATCACATAGAAATCATGTGAAATCATACATCTGCTTTATGATAGAGGGTTAAATAATTGCAGGATGTGCGTAATTTGATTTAATTTTTGTAAAAATACCCCTGACGGTCTGCACAGAGGAGGCTCGAAGGCTGCACACCAGACTGTAACAGTCACAGCCCGGGCAGCTGGGACTTGGGGGGCCGGGAGAAGGCTTCTGCTTTGCACATTATATTTTCCTTGTTGTTTTTTTCCCTTTAGCAATTATATCTTCTGTCTTTTCATTAAATAATATTAAACAAACATTGAAAAGCATGGTCTTTGCCACTGGGCCCCTGACAGGCTGCACACAAATATTTCTGGTCCTCATTCATTGAACATGTACTTTTCTGTGTCTCGGTTTGGAGGGAATGAGCGAATCCACCGGAGAAGTGGCAATCATATTTGCAAGAAGAGCATCAGCCTGGGAACACCCGCAGGCCAGGGGACTTAGGAAGGAAACAGAAACCACTAAGATTGAATAAATCTGTCCTAATTTAAAAAATAAAAAAGTGGATGTCCCAGGGCAGACTCAAAGAGCCGGCTAGTACTTCAACTGCTTAATTGTTCATGGTCTTCAGGAAGGGGAAGGACTGACACGAAGCTCTCTGTGGTTTAGCTTAATTAATATTTATGACTGCAGAAGAAAATTAAATAAGGTAAACGGTGTAATTTTAAACAGCCTGTGGTCACGGCTTGCAGGGCTCACAACAAATTCAGAAGCGAGAAGAGAGAGTTCTGTGGGAATGGCATGATTTCAGTTTTCTCTCCCTACCCCCCGCCCCCCTCCAGCCATTTTTGCAGGGACCTCCTATGCTGACTTCTCAGCGCTACAACGACCCGCCTGTGCACTTTTTTTTTGCATATTTTCTTTGTCTTTTTGGCTGAATTGTCTGCAGGAAGATTTTCTTCCTTCAGGATGGGGGTGACGGTGAAGTCCAAGGACGTTAGCTCTGGAACCATCTGCCGTGGCTCTGCAGGGTGTTTCTAGGGTGTGCGTCTGCCACTCGCCGATTCTTTCCACGGTTTGATGATGCGAATTTTTCTGTCTCGGGAGCTGAGAGGTGATGAGATGGCATACGTTCCTGTAGTGGGGAATCCGGAAGTTGGTTCAACTTCTGCATACTAATAAATGTTTATTGGGTGGATGGATGGATGGATGAATGGATGGGGGTGGATGGACAGATGGATGGATGGACGGGTGGATGGATGGATGGATGGATGGAGGGAGGGGTGGATGGAAGGAAGAAGACAAATTGTATGCAACGTTGATTGAAAAACTTACAGTTTACCCTGGTTTTGGGGGGATAAAATTAGATTACGACAAATCCTGGGTGAGTGCTTTTCAAACCTTAATTGACGGCTCATCAATGTGTTGTGACAGCAACCTTCTCCACTGAAGTGACCATCAAATAAAGGAAAGGACTAGAATGGAATCTCTGTACATCTCACATAGAAAAGGCGTGCGTGGTTCTGAAAGACTGTTTTTGTTATAAACGTGTGTGTATCTGCAGCAGGATGGATGGAAAATCCTTCCTGACTGTGATTCTCGCCAAAAAGCCTGAGAGACCAGGTACACTGGCATCTGAGGGCTCTCCCCAAGAACAGCTTCAGGTTTCTCATCTGAAATGGGGATGACAGCCAGACCCGTGGCCTGGGTGAGGATACAGGGAGCCGAGGCACGCGCTGGTGGCTCAGCCTGGCACCCGGCGTGGGAGGAACTCTGATCCGTGCTGCTGTTCCTCCCCTGCGCCCCGTGCGCGTCCTCAGCATCACGGCGCGGGAAATCCCAACACTGCGCAGAGAGAGGCGTGAGGCTGCGCTTCACAGGCTGACCTCCCAGCTCTAGTCAAATCAACACTCTTAAAAGACAGTCAACTTGCTCAAAATGACACCACATATTGAAAAGATCGTTCTCATGTCTCTGGACGAGGTCAGAGCTGAGCCGAGCTCTGGGTCAAGGACTCTCCAGAATCAGAAGGGTTCTAACCCACTCGTGACTCTTCTCAGCAAAGCACCAGACCTGGCTTCTACCCCATGGCTTTCCCGCCCTTGGAAAGTTAAATTCAGCATTTTATTTTTGTTCTGATAGTAACTCCCGACCTCTCCCCGTTTCCAATTCCTTCTAAACCCTCTATTACGTGCTTTTCCCTCTCCACCCTCTTCCTGAAGTCGGCTGGCCCAGAAGACCCCAGCTTCCGGGGTTTGGGCGATTCCCTCTCTTCACCCCTCCCAGCTCACTGTTCCTCTTTTTGATTTTCATCTTTTCTCTTGTTTTCTATTGTTCCTACATTCTTCCCACACACATCCCACACCCCATGGGGCCATCTTCCACCCAGTGAGGTCCTCCCAGTGACCCAGACCTGACAGAAGCCTCCTTCATCTTTCCGGAAGGGCCATCAGCTGCCCGAGCCAGCCCACCACCGTTCTCCTGCGGGCTGCTTCAGACCAACCTGGGGAGGGTGCTCGGGGGTGAAATGTTTGCCAAGTTGCACCCATTAGATAGAAAAAAAAAATCTTCCACTTGGACTTATTTCCGGTGATGTGGAAGGTTGCATTCTCCTAAGCTGACCGTGGTAACCACCGATTCTGTAAGAAAATGGAAACCCTGCACATAGGGACAGAAAACCCCCCCTTTTCCATGGGACCTGGTGAGTTGCTGAGTGAGAACAGGGGTCCCCACGAGCAGCAGCTGCTTCACCCACTGCTTAGAAAGACAGAAAAAGTCATACTGGTGGAAAGACCGCAGTGGGGGTGGGGGGACAGAGGACGCATTTCTTAATTTGCCAATAGCATCGTTCAGGGCTGTTCTCTTCCTTACCTGGTATCTCAGCAAATGCGTCTGTGCCGTATTTCAGTTGGCCTTTGGGCTTTCTCCAGGCTCACACACACGGCGTGACTCTTGCTTTTCCTTGCTCTGCAGCATGCGTACCCCACTGGCTTTGCATCAATCTGCTGCTGGCAGCATCTCAGGCGAGGTTCCCAGACACGGAGCCTGCGTGTGACTTCTTGGGGTCATGGTGCCAGGAGAAGGCAGGAAGGGAGTGGGGGAGCCCACAGACTGAGGACTGAGTGACTAGCACCTCATTCCCTCGCCATCATGAGTAAAGAGCCCTCCAGGGGCTGGCCACACACTCTCAGGCACTTGGGACTCTCTGGGGAGCCTGCCAAGGGGCTCCTGGAGCCCAGGGGTGGGCTCTGATGGAGCAGCCAGTGCAGAGGCCCTGGAAGCCCCCACCAAGTGGCAGAGGTGGGATAGGGAGGCAGTAGGGCACCAACGTCATGTGTTACAGGTTTGCAAATTTTGCTATCATAGCGAGTGCTGCAACGCGTCTTCTTCACGCCTCTCCTGCGCGCGCCTGTGTTCCTCTAGTGCCTGGCGGGTCTGGAGAGTCACACAGCACGCCCTGCGGAGGTGCCCTCTGGGGAAGAAAGGGGGCGTGCTGGGGTGAGGGCGTGTTAAAGGAAAACCTGTCCTTACCTGTCCTGCTATAATTTTTTGCAAAGACAAGGCACCTGCATGTTGCTCTCGTATTAAAGTCACACTGCAATGTTCCCAAGAGCAACAAATTCAAATGCCAGCAGCTCCGGCCCAGCAGCCGCGGGTCACCTCCTTGCTCTGAGTTCCTCCCCTCTGGGTTACAGTCAGTGGTCACAGGGATGGGACGGAGTCCCCTTGCATGTGACTCCAGGGATGAGGGATTCTGTGATCCAAGGC